TTTTTTTTTTTTTTTGTGCTCAATGATGTTTTCAACTTTGAAGTAAAAGAAACAGTTAATAAATCAGTTAGTAAAGAAATTTATTTATTCTTTTTTTGACTTTTTTCTTGCAAGATTAGCATAAAGAAAAGAACAGATAGGAAAGTATAGCAGTTTAAAAAAAAAAAAAAACTTCCCAAATATTTCACATTTGGTAGAGCAATTCTAATTAGGCAAAAAAACGGCGATAACGACAAAGATCATGATAACGCTTAAAAAAGAAAAAAGAAAAAAAAAATATATAGGTCAGGTTTCTCGATGATATTCTAATATAAATTCTACAAGTAGTCTAATGTCCATCCATTTCGCAAATCATTTTAAAGTTATGTAAAGACGAAAAAGGCAAATAACTCATCAGAAAAAAAAAAAATAAGCACCAGAACATCGCTGTAGAAAACAGTATACTTTTTTGCTGTTTACTGGATAGTTTACAACAGTCACTGTAAACTTAAATACACCGCTGACGGAAGTACTGTTAATGCTGATAGGCCGTTGATGACATTATGTCATACGGTTTTCAAAAATCATTCTCTGGGTTATTGCGTCGTTCAAATGACTAAGCAAACTTAAGCCGATTGATCATACAAAAGTGCACTCAATCAACTATTGCCTTAAACAACTTTAGAAGTGACTATCAGTGGCTGAAGTCAGTTTTGAAGCTATAAAGTTGCTATAAAGTTATGTCTGAAACACTATACTTGGTCATGTTTCTTTGCTGATGCTAGAAGTGTAGAAGTGCAAATGATAATGTGCCTGTTACAGTGCAAAAACATTCTTTTCTCCAGCGTTGAGCACAACAATGGCGTTGCTAATTTTTCGCTTGAAATTTCGAGCTGAACGATGAGATACTTTGTACTGTTGCTTAAAGAGGTGGTTGAGAGTATTGACACAGCAGTTAGAAGAATCTTTACTATGTCTTATGACCAAACTTTATAAGAACTTTACCAACCGCGTTTCTTCAAAAAAAGCCGATAGCAAAAACCTCTTTTATCTTTCCCACTTTAAGAACTACATTTTATACAGCAAATTTTACTCATCTGAGCTGTTAA